TCATCATCATTGTCGTCTCATCGATGGCGCTTCTGCCTTGCAATCAACCTGCAGATGAGGTTGACATCAAATGTGTGTTAAAGAAAATATCATTGGATGAATATCAAACACGTGAAAAGAAGCAGTATGTTTGCTTGGATGCAAGGAAAAGAACAACAGTTTTTATCTGTTTTTCTTCTTCTTAATATTGCAATAATTTCCTTCTTCCTTGGGACGCTAACGCATATATGGGGTAACTATCAAGGATGGTCGAGGGGGGAATATGGATATATGAGATTGATATTTTCAGAAGCCTGGAGTATATAACTTTATGAAGCATATGTGGAACCACGCTGAAAACCATTGAATTTTAGGTTTGAATTATGCACTCCAAATAAAATTTATGTTCAAACTATGTATTTTTTAATAATATTTATTATGTGTTTAAATTAAGTATTATTTGTAGTAGTACCGTATGAAATCGTAGAGCATGTGTTTGCATAGATTTAAGGTTCGTAAATGGAGGTTGTGGTTCCACAGATGGTCATAAGGGGTGGCCGACTCCTGCGGCGGACATTTAGGAGGTCATATTTGTCCAGTACGAGATGCCCTGACTAGTTTGAATTTTCTTTGGCTGTTCTTTGTGTTTGTGATCTAGCGGTTACTTCTTAGCAGAAGCCAAAGCAGTTTGATGTACCCTCGATAGTGCACTACTCTGCTAGCTCATCGGCCAGGTGGTTGTAAGAACCAGCAATCTGGATATGGATATGTCTTCGGTGATAGGCGGATGATCAACCGCCATCAAGACATGTGAAATTCAAAAAAGAACACATCGAAGAAGAAAATATGCTTTAAGACTCGTGAAGGACACACGAGTCTAACCAGATGGAAAATAAGGGCACCTCCAAAGCGGGAATCGTCTGCAAACGTGTGTACCACACTGTCCAAATGCACTTTGTCATCCAATGTTGCTGCATCGGTCCTTAGACTAGTCCACTCGTTTGTTTTCCTGCAAAGCAGAAGCAAACTAGGGGCTTTGCGAAAGTCCGGACCGCCGCCACGTAGGACTACTGTTGGTGCAATGATAGGCCCCTTATGTTTTGGAGTTTGTTAAAATAAACAATATGGGACTTATGTGTTTGCTAGTGCACACAGGGTAACAGGTCCCTGAGATCACGAGGAGTTTGAGTTAAACGACAAAGGTAATCTCCCTGCGCTGCAGTGAAGGTTAGCATCGAAGACTATGATAACAAGAGTGACAAGTCAAAAATTGTTGAAGTGAAGCAATTCGTTCGGTGCTTGTCGAGGAAAATGGTTGTGTCCGAGGAGTTTGAAGACGAAGTGAAGACGTAGCATTTATTTCGTTGTTCTTCTTCTCTTTATTGAGTCATAGGACTATCATACTATTAAGAGGGGTGTAGCGTTCGAAACTTTGATTTTCTGATGCTAAACCCAAATCCTATGAAAATTGTGAGAGAAATCTCTTTGTGTTTCAAGCAAATACTTGCGAGCAAGAGACTGTGATCTTCGTCGCTGCGCGAGATTTGTCTCAGATCGAGGAGTTGGCGTTACTTGTTCCTCAAGTAATGTTGTCGTTGCTCCAAAATCCGACTGTTCTAAACGTGTCGGTTGGCCATTGGCTGGACCGCGTGTCCAAAATGGTCATTCCCCATCTGGGAAGGCTACAGCTATAAATAGCCACCCCGCGTTGGCTTTGTCCGGTGGCTGCTCCTTTTGATTCTGAGAAGATTGTTGAGCAACCCCCTCTCTGAGCCATTTGAGTTTAAAATCTACCGAGAGAAAACCCCTAGAGCCAAAGAATTAGATAGTGGTTCAGCATCACTCGAATCTAAGTCAAGTACGCTCCGCCTATTACTCCTGAGAGCTGCAAACTCTCTAGACGGTTAGGTGTCAATTTCTTTAGAGACCAAGAGTGATTGTAGTTCTCGAAGAAGAAGTCTGTAAAGGTTCGGAGATCTCCTTAAAGTATCTACCACGAGTGATCGGCATTGGTTGACGAACCAATTGTCGAGGAGAATAGGGTGAAGAGAGTTTATCTTCCGTGTTAAGTCACAAACCCTCCAACCATACGTAGTCCTTGTGTAGAAGGACGAACTGGTCGAACAAATACCCTGTCGCCATCAAGCATCATTGGTTACCTCTGCTACCCATGTTTACATTCGATATGTTTGCGTTCATGTGATTTGTCTCGATTCATGGTTTAGTTCTCATTCGGTACTTAATTTAGCTCGCTGTAGTTTGTTTTTCATTCGCTCCACTGCTGCGTTCCGAGAGTTTTGAGATTTCCGAAGAAATTTGAAAACTCACATTCACCCCCTCTGCTAGACATACTTCGTTCCT